TTTATTACATTTTACTGTGATTTGTATTTTCATTCATTTTATTATTAATTTTGATATTTCATTTATGGAAAAATGTCATAACTGAGATTAATATAAAAATAAGATCATATAAATTAAAGTTTAGCAGTAGTTAAATTTCATAAGATGATACTGTTACTTGTAGGTACCCTTCTCAGTTGAAATTGAAAACTCAAATTAACTTCTCCATACGTGTTTCGCAAAAGTAAAGGGCTTAACAGCGGAGAACAATGCTGAACTCAAATAATGCAACTAAATTGTATTCTGGTTGGTCTTCCGTACTTGATAATTACTGTCCGACTATAAACACAAAAATTACATTTCTTAATTACCATGGCTAATCTGATTGGTCCAAATTATACAATTTTCAAAGCGCTAGACAATGACAATCTCACACGGACATTTTGAAAGGTTGATGTTGCTTTTAACTAATGTTAAAATATTTTTTAAAATTCAATTTAAACATTTTTTAAAAATCTTTTTAAAATTAAAGAAATAAGAAATAATTGTATTAAAAATTCAATTTTCATTGAAAAAATATTTTGCTTTCAGAAAATATTGTCCATATTCATAAAAACAAATTAAAACAAATAAAAGCATTTGAAACTAAATAATATATTTGTTTTATTGAGTTTTGTATGTTACAAATCACAGCTGATTTTCTGGTACGTTGGCCAAAAAACAAACAAAAACAAAAAAAAACATTAGTTATGGGGGTGTTAATAAATATAAAAAAAATATTTCTGCCATGACTTTAATAAAAAAAATAAAATATTTATAATAATTTCGATCATCTGTGAATAGTTTCTGAAAGTTTCATTAACATTTGACAATTATTTTTATTTTTGCAAGATTTTCCAAATTAATGTGTGTAAATACAAAAAAATTGCGCTAAAAATTATCTATATTATTTACTACCCCTTGTTGCGACAAAGAGAAACAAAGGTTTTTAAATCAAAATTTAGAATATTCTAAAAAGATGGAACATTTTTAAAAAATAATTAAAAAAAATTTAGTCTATCCTCTTCATAAAAAAATAAGCATTTTGACGATAAAATTTTGTTTTCATAAACTTTGGCGTCTTTTTCATCAGACTATGCTCTATGTTTTAGCGATTCCGTGGAGTGACTTAGGTTAAAAAACCCAGGTTGTTTATGTGTGTGTGTGTGTGTGTGTGTGTGTGTGTGTTCCTTTATATATGGGATTGGATTTCTTACATTTTTCAGCCGATAAAACAAACATCCACTTTTCTTTCGGCAGGTAGTATTTCTTATTGTCTTGCACACTTTTTTCTTTATTTACATTCAGAATGCTTTAAAAATTCCATTTACAAGACAATTGTTTATAATAAAATTCTATTCACCAATCGATAGAATCATAATGATTGTAAACAATGTTTTTGTTTGAGTTTAGGTTTGACCAATTCGTAAAAAAAGAAGAAAAAAAAAAAACAATTAAGACATGCGTGTCCGTCAACCTTAAACAATAATCTTTGTCAATTTTATTTTTCAGTCTTTATGATGGTCGATACTTGATCTATCTCTTACTGTTACATCCCCGGGCAACGCCGGGATCTACTACTAGTATATATATATATATATATATATATATATATATATATATATATATATATATTGAGCAATAAAAATTAAAAATTAAAATCTTCAGACACGCTGGGTTGTAGATTAATATTCTTCCGTTTTTATTATTATTATTTTATTTAGATTCCTCGACTAGTTTCGTCCAACATGGCCCTCATCGGGAGAAGAAATATCTCTGCTTGCTGATAGCAGTAAACTACAGAAATGAATGTGTTGATGCAGAAAATGATTCAACCATATATATATATATATATATATATATATATATATATATGTGTGTGTGTGTGTGTGTGTGTGTGTTTGTGTGTGTGTGTGTGTGTGTGTTAAGTTATATTTTATCTCGCGATAAGCTATCAATGAGTTTTAAACAATGCCGGTAAATTTTTTCAAAAAATGTATTGCTGGTATTAGAATTTTTTTTATACTTCCATAGCGTTTTGACCCCTTTTTGGAGGGGGTTAACTATTTGCCCATAACTGGGACCCTGAAAGATGCTACCACCCCGGAACAGGGTGGACCTGGGAAAACCAGCAATTAAGTGGTTCCATGTTCCTCATCACCTCCTGACCAGAGGCCTTGCAGTTGGATGCAGTTTATTATCGTCTTAACCAGGACGAGAATCATAATTCTGAAGTTAGTGATTTAACAAGCTCCTTGCGAGTTTAATATCTATAAAAATAAAATTTCATCCTTAAATATTAGAGGTTAACAAAATATTAAAATAAGAACAATAAATATGAATTGGCATTAGTTAAATTAATAATTGGACCTGACCTGGCTTCTCGGCTTCAGTTATTTTCCCACTTGCATAATATGACTGACCTTTTCCATAAATAATTTCATGGTAATTGTTCAGATGAACTCTCTACTATGATACAAAAATTTTATGGATTTAAGCGCCGTGCGAGATTGGCAACAAAATCTCATTAATTTACAGTTGAATTGGCTAGACGTATCCGTATGATCTATGCTAACAATTTCTTTTCCCGCACTTCTCTCTTGTTGGACTCGTATTCGGCTCCATGCTTTCCGGTGAACTTTGATCTTCAAAAATTTAAATCTAATGTCAAATGTTATCCACTGTCTACTTGACCGCTCTTCTATTGTTCTCGCTCCTTCACAATTCACCCTTTGTTTCTTAGTAGCTTTGAAGATTAAAAATTGACAAGATTTTCTATTTCTCTGAAGCAGACGTTAAACACACGAGAGCGTTATCGCCTAATCTATCCTTTATTTCTTTCTTCTTATTATATATGCTTTATTTTCTCCTTTAAACCAAACAGCGTCTCTCATATATCCTTTACTTCCGTCTATCTTGACAATGAAAACGGAATGGTTCATTATTTATCCGAGGTAATGGCAGTGCTTAACGATCACCCTAACTTACTAGCTTCCACTTTAAGAGAGAAATTAGCATACTGTAATATGATGATGATATTCTGTTTGCTGATTTGTTCAGATTTCGAGAAGTGGTTCCGGTAGATAGCTTTTCAGCACTTCTCTGTATGTATGTATAGAAATGCAGGTGCCCAATTAAAGATATTGACGAAACTAAGTCCGTAGAGCGCATTAGATAATTATCGTCTATAGTCTAAGACTCTGTTAATGTGGTACATTTGGAAAGATTCTTAGGTAGGTTAATTATGCAATTATGTGTCAATTGTACAGCGCCGAATTTTGCTCAGTGCCGTAAGGATCAAATCTTCAGAGATTTACCAAATCGGCACGCTCACCGCCGTGTTCACAAGTCTAATTATCTTTTAGATATCCCCGGGATACATTCACTTTCAGTTCTCATTTTCAATGACTTACCATATAAACATACAACGGTTTCCTCTCATCCAGTCGCTTATAGACCGAACAAATGACCCTATGTTCTGTTTCGATTCCTGTCTGCGTCGGTGTGCACAAAACTGGATAAGACCCTTTCTACATTCACACGGAAACGAATGCTGACAATAACGCTAGAAATGAAAAAAACACGAATTCTGTTTCTGATACATGTGGTTGGTTATTTCGAAAATTTATTCGCAAGGTTTTTTTTCTTTGGTGGAGGTAAGTAGGTGAGACTTGGGGCAGATTCTGCTACGATGATAAAAATAAGAACAGAAGTTCCACCCTTCGACCAACGAGGATTCTTTCTTGCCAGCCCTTTGGCCATGTCTTGCATCTATCTCACAGGAGACATGAAACTGAACTCTATCGGACAGCATCGGAAATCATCCACAGTAGAACTTGTATTAATAACCCGCGCTCCTCTGCTATTAAGCATAAGAATTGTAAAAAAGCGAGAAAGAGATGGAAGGGAGAGTGAAAAGGCCAAGCAGGAAAGTGAGGATGTCATAAACCTTGAGAAAAACAAAAGAAAATCTGGTACATTGATTATATATATATATATATAGTTTTAAGGTATGCTATATTTATGTTGAAATTGCTCAATATCAGAGATAAAGGATCACAGAGGTCAACATCGGAGGCCTCAAGATTGTGTTCAATCCAAACAGGAAACAAAGGCTAAAATTCTATTCCTGTTCAATAGATGGGAAAGAAATCTCTACGTATGCACACACACACACACACACACACACACACACACACACACACACACACACACACACACACACACACACACACACACACACACACACACACACACACACACATATATATATATATATATATATATATATATATATATATATATATATGTATATATTGTGAAGGTTACTTTGTCATGGAGTTGTATGTACAAATTCTCTCTGTCTCTCCCTGACTCTGTGTTTGACTTTCTACCTGACTCAATATATATATATATATATATATATATATATATATATATATATATATATATATATATATATATATACTTGAATATGTATGCATATATTGAATATATATCTATCTATCTATCTATCTATCTATCTATCTATCTATATACATATACACACACACACACACACACACACACACACACACACACACACACATATATATATATATATATATATATATATATATATATATATATATATATAATTTAAAAAGCCTTGATAAACCACTGACATCCTTGCTTTTGTATACAAACACGTGGTGCAAAATAAATCCTTATATTTGCCTTGAAAACTTCCCCCAGAGGACGAAACGCCGAGACTAAGAAATTGTTTTTCTCTTGTCTTTTTTATTCATTTTTTCCTTCACAGATAAACACATCTGAAGATAATTTACACATACACGCACGTTCGCATAAACATACATGCACACACGCACATATATGTGTGTGTCTATATATATGTTTATATATATATATATATATATATATATATATATATATATATATATATATGCTTGAATGTATGTATATTTAGAGTGCGGGGTTGAGAGTCAAATATCCAGTAAACAGAGAGAGAGAGGGAGGGAGAGAGACAGAGAGAGACATAGAGAGAGAGAAAGAGAGGGAGGGCGACAGACAGAGAGACAGAGAAAGTCTACAGCCGACGTCATGACTGATTAACCTTCAGAACATATTTTCAACTATGCAGGAAGTATGGATTCGATTACGGTGAGAAGATGTACGGGGATTCAAGAGCTGTTAGTAGCCAAGAATAAACAAGGGATGCCTATGTGGTGTACGACCATCTTGACTGACAAGCGCTTGGAGAGAAATCGCCCTGATATCGCAAAAGAGCTTAGGTAGTGAAATAATTTGTATTGGCTCAGCAGGAACAAAGTACTGCCATGAAAGTTTGTTGAGGGATGGACTATGTTGGCCTCTAGTACGATGTAAGTATGAATACTCACTTTAAAATCAGCCTTGTGCCATATTCAATTCCATTTGACGTGCAGGTAAATATATAGTGTTAAAATAATGAGGAAAGAAAAAATAACTTTTTGTCAGTGAGGTGAGCTTGCAAGCAACAGCACTACAGCATGTGTCTGATGTGATTATATCTGAATCAACGTAGTAGTGTTTATATTTCATGTTATGTTATGAAAGCTGTTTGAAAATATGAAGCCAGATCGAAAGTTGAATGCCACGAAACAAATGAATGCAAGGGAAAGTGAAAAGATACACAAATAAATAAATAATCGATGAGACAAACAGGAAGGAACAAGCATATCAAAAAGGAAGTAAAAATCAATAGCAAAATAAAAAGTAAATTTAGGAATAAAGAAATGAAAGGAAAAAAAATGTAAAGAAAAGAAAAATGGAAGAAAAAGAAAAGAAGAAAACAATTAAGGGAATGCCAAAGGAAAGAAAAAGAAAACGCAGGAAAGCAAGCACGAAAGAAAGAAAGAAAGAAAGGAAAGAAGAAAAGAAAGAAAAAGAGAAAGAGAAAAACTAAGAAGAGAAAGAAGAAAAATAAAGAAAAATGAAAGAAAAAGAAAATGTACGGAAGAGAGAAAATAAGAAAAAGAAGAGAAAAATAAAAATGGCAAAGAAAATAAATAATGAACGGTAGAAAGAGAGAAGAGGAAATTAAAGAAAGATGAAGGGAAATAATTAGAAACGAAGAAAAGGAAAATACAAGAAAAACTCCAAGGAATCAAGTCAGATAAAATTTAAAAAAAAAATGAAAAAGAGTGAAAGTTAAATAAAAAAGAAAAAAAGTATGAAAATTAGCGACGAAAAAAAGCAAAAAAATTAAAGAAAAATGAAGAAAAGAAGAGAAAAAAATGATTGTAAGAAAAAAGAAAAAGTAGAAAGAGAAGAGAAAGAAAAAGTAAAGGTAAGTATGTAGGTAAGCAAGAAGGAAAGAAAAAGAAAATGAAAGCATAAAAACGAAAGCAAGGATAGCAAGATGAAGCACAAGATGGAAAAAGAAAAAGAAATGAAAAAGGTAAGAGAAATAAAAAAGAAAATAGGAAAAAGAATGAAAGAAAAAGTAACGATGAGGAAAAGAATAAAGGAAAAAAAGAGAGAAATTGAACAGAAAAAAGTAAACTGAAAAAGAGAAAGAAAAAGTAGAGAGAAAAGAAGTAAAAAAGAAAGAAAAAGAGATAAGGGAAAGAAGGAAAAAATGAATGAAAGAAATGGCAAGAATTTAAAACATGGAACGCAAAGAAAATTAAATAAATGGCGAGAAAACTCAAAAAAAAAAAAAAAAAAAACGAACAAAAAACGAAATAAGATAAACAAATATAAAATAGGAAAAAATAAAACTGATGAGAAGAAAGAAAGAAAAAAGAGTAGAAAATCGGAGTATAATGATGAAAGAAAAGAGAGAATAGAAAAAAAAGAAGGAAAAGTTAAGACAAAAGAGAAAAGAAAGTAAGAAAGAATCTAAGAAAAGGATGCGAAAAATAAAAGTAAAAGGAAGAAAACAAAAACAAAAAATCCTGCTGAAATCAAAGAAGGAACAAAGATAAGAAAATGGAACGAATACAAAAATAAATCAAATGAGAAAACAGACAACAACAAAGGTAGATAGAGAGCTTCGATTTTGGTTTAAAAAAGATAGAGCATATAAACTGTTAGTACTAAATACCGAGTTCGATTCTCACTGGATGCCCTATAGTTTTGACCTTACGTCAAGCTAAGCTTTGTAAGTAGCAGAAACAAAAAAAAATGAAAAGGATAGCTATAAAAAGGAAATAAATTGAAATCTAATAAGAGAGAGAGAGAGAGAGAGAGAGAGAGAGAGCGAGTCAAAGAAAAGATAAAAGAACAATAATTGAAAGACAAGAAGAATAAAAATAAATGACCAAGAAGAAGAAACGATAAATGATAAAGAAGAAGAAAAAAATAAACGATAAAGATGACGGGGCAATAAATGACCGAAAAGAAAAAAAAACGAGTGAAAGAGAAGAAAAAATAAATGATAGAGAAGAAGAAGAAAAGAAATGACCAAGATGAAGAAACAATAAATGATAGAGAAGAAGAGCATGAAAGGAGATGGATAAAAAGAACAGTCAGCAATTCGTTGTGGAGCAAATCTGACTCCATATTCCATAACTGCTTAAGAAATTCTTCTTCAATATGCCATGTCCATTAACTAAATGGTCGATCATGGCTCTCCAAAATTGTCTATCCCTTAGCAGTTTTTCTTCCTTTACTAAGGCTCCCGAACATCCGTTCTTCCATTCATTCACACATGCAGGCAAGTGCTCCGCAGCCTCCTCTTATCTCTCTTGAAATCAATATGTCCTGTGAGGATTCTGTTTTTCAAACGCCCCCACCAAAACTTTTAATCTGCATCTTCCTGACTCTTATATAAGTGTTCTTTTTGCTGTCATTTTCTTTACAATTTCCTTGTGCCTACTCGCTATATCCATGGAATCCTAAGCATCCTTCTGTAGAACCATATTTCTGTTGCCTCCAGTTTTCTCTTCATCTGTTTCGAGATTATTAAGCATTCACTGCTATACATGAGGATTGATATCCCATAGTAGTTCAGCAATCTTTGTTTCAACGAAATTTTCCTGTTTCTTCGAATTGTGCTTCGCCTTTGGACATTCATTTTTATCTAATCCGATCGTTGTTCAAACACTTCCCAGGAAATTCAATTTCTGTACATGCTCATTGCTGACATCTTTAGTTCAGAGACCTTATCGGGCATTTTTCTCTTACTTACAACAATACATTCTCTGTCTATATCTCTGAGATGAGGTATTATGATTAATTAAATTATTCACATTATTCGGACTGTTATCTTCATCTTCATTGCCATATTCACACCGTTTCGACCTCTATATCTCTGAGATGAGGTATTATGATTACTTAAATTATTTACATTATTCGGACTGTTATCCTCATCTTCATTACCATATTCACACCGTTTCGACCTCTATATCTCTGAGATGAGATATTAAGATTACTTAAATTATTTACATTATTCGGACTGTTATCCTCATCTTCATTACCATATTCACACCGTTTTGACCTCTATATCTCTGAGATGAGGTATTATGATTACTTAAATTATTTACATTATTCGGACTGTTATCCTCATCTTCATTACCATATTCACACCGTTTCGACCTCTATATCTCTGAGATGAGGTATTATGATTATTTACATTATTTACATTATTCAGACTGTTATCTTCATCTTCATTGCTATAGTCACAACGTTTTGGCTACTATATCTCTGAAATAAGGTATTATGATTACTTACATTATTTACATTATCCGGACTGCTAACCTCATCTTCAATGCCATATTCACAAAGTTTCGGCTAGAGGTCCGATTGCTTCAAACCGGGATCGAGATCCTACCCCTAAGTTATCGGCGCACGGCAGAGAAAGGGAAATATGAGATGTATAGACAAAGATCAGCAGCCAGAGTTCTCAATTCCTTAATGAAGAGCGGTGCGTTAATAGCGGCGACGGCTTCTCTTTTAGAATTATTTTTTTCTCAATGGTGTTCGCTCGAAATGGCGAGAACGTAACACACACACACACACACACACACACACACACACACACACACACACACACACACACACACACATACCAGGAAAGTTAGTTCACTGTGTTGAGCTAGGTTTTTTTCTTAACAGTGTCTATCATACATATCTATAAGTCTACAAATTTTCCATGCTTAGAATATTGTGGTCCGAGGCTCCCGCTATGTAACTAGATCTCCTTGATAAAATAAAAAGATATAACCAGCAATATTATTGGCTCTGTTCTGGTATCTCGGCCTTAGTCACATTCCCACCGCCGTAAGGCTGCTTCCCTTTGTTTTTTCTATAATTACTCAAATGGTAATTGTTTGGGTGGAACCTAGACTGTTTGAATTTAAGCGCATTACTAGACTGGCGTCGAGGTACCACCAATTTGCAGTTGGGATGGCGAGATGTAACCGTAAATTCTATGCTAACAGTTTCCTTTTCTCGAACATCTCGTATGTGGAACTCTTTTCCGGCTAAATGCTTCTCAACTAACTTTAATCTGCAAAAAATTAAATGCACTCTCAATCGCTGTCTGCTCTTCTTCTGATTACTCTTCTATTCTCACTCCTTAGCAATATTTCTGTTTCTAACTCTTCCGCAGCCAGTAACCCCTTGCGTCCCAGTGCCTTTATTGTCTTGGTTGGAGAGAACTCGGTTAATAATAATAATAATAATAATAATAATAATAATAATCTTATAAATATAAGTAAGTATACTCGTCCGGAAAAATCTTAGGTGTTTTGGCTTGTAAATGAACAAACCAATACCCAGGGGGAAAAAAGGAATAAAAAAGAAAGAACTAAGAACATGTAATTTAGGGGAAAACAATCATCCAGAATCCAGGCTCAGAGTCCAAAGAAAAAAACCTCCAACATGAGTAAAGTAAAAATAACTAAGCAAAGTGCCCACTACACTAAGTAGAGCAAATCTAACTATGAACCTAAAGAGCCAGGCAAACCTACCTAGGTTTCACTTACGCAGATTGTCAGGGCACCCTGACGATCTGCGTAGGTAAACCTAGATAGGTTTGCCTGGCTCTTGGTCCGTTATATATATATATATATATATATATATATATATATGTGTGTGTGTGTGTGTGTGTGTGTGTGTGTGTTTTCAGAATTTTAGGATGTAATTTCCCTTTGTTGGAAGATTGGAGTTCCCCGGTCTAGCACACCCTTTTTTCATTACATTTGGCTCCATTCTGAACTAAGACAAGCTTTGTAAATATAGTCAGGATTTAAAAAGCTCATTTTCTAGGAAGGTCTTCTCCACTTACGAAATTGACGAAACGCAATCCTCCACCCCAGATTTAACTTTGAGCTGTTCTTGTTTGAGCTAAGTAGATATCAAAAAGCAAAACTTTTCTTACTTGAGAAGTTGGCGTAGTACAATCTTCCTCGTCTCTTTTAGGCTTAGAATAGAGAGAGAGAGAGAGAGAGAGTGAGAGAGAGAGAGAGAGAGAGAAAGAGAGAGAGAGAAATGAAGTATGATGGGGAGGTGTATAGAAGGATTTCTGAAGTCAGTTGTAAAAGAAGATTTAGCGTAAAGAATAATATCGAAAGAAAGATGGCGAGGGAAAATTGAAAATGAATAGAGAATATATTGGGAAAGTCATGTGCAAAAGTGGAAAGAGGATAGTGAATGAATAGGAAACAGATAGATAGACATAAATAGATATAGAAATAGAATGCGATAGATAGATAGATAGATAGATAGATATGATCAGACTGAGATAGATAAAATAATAACAAACTGATAGATAGATATGAACAGGTTGAGCGAGCTAGCTAGCTAGATAGATATATAAAAGTGGGAACAGACAGACAGAACGACAGACAGACAGACAGATAGATAGATATGATCAGAATGAGATAGACAGAAGAAAATAGGAACAGATAGATAGATAGATAGATATGAACAGGTTGAGATAGCTAGCTAGTTAGCTAGATAGATATATAAAAATGGGAACAGACAGACAGAACGACAGACATATAGATAGATAGCTAACGAGAGATATTGAGAGAAGAGCAGGCTGATAGATGAATAGATATATGGATAGATAGATATGAAGAGCCTAAAATATATAGATAGACAGATAGATATGAACAGATTGAGATAGATATAAAAATAGATAAAAATGGGAACAGACCGACAGACAGATAGATAAAGAGAGAGAATGAGAGAGGAGCAAGCTGATAGATGGATAGATATGAAGTGTCTGACATACATAGATGGTTTGATAGATATGGACTGGCTGATAGATAGATAGATAGATAGATAGATAGATAGATAGATAGATACATACATACATAGATAGATAGATAGATAGATAGATAGATAGATAGTGTTCGATAGAGGAACAGGCTAGTAGATAGATAGATAGATAGATAGATGAACACACATAGATATATCGATATGAACGAGTTTAGATAGTTGTGAAGAAACTGAGAATGATATACATATATATATATATATATATATATATATATATATATATATATATATATATATATATATAAACTGACAGAGAAGGAGTAAATGAAAAGAAATAAATAAAACGCTGAAAACTTGAAGGAAAGAAAGAAAGAAAGAAAGAAAGAAAGGAAGAAAGAAAGAACGAAAGCAATAGCGAGAAATGGCGGAAAGAAAGTAGAATCGTTAAGAGAAGAATTCTCTGGCAAAGAAGGGGGGCATGAGCCTCAACTGCTGGAAACCGGCGATGGTGCGTAGGTGTAGCATGTTCAGCTCTCATCTGCGCGAGATGTAATGCGTGTGAAATTGCGCGCTTAACCACCTCTGTTTCATTGTATGCCAGAGTTTTCGCCCTTGGCAGCCAGCAAGAGCCTAATGCAAATGTGTACTTGTTCAGACGTTTTTTTCTTTTATTAAATGGAATGACGTCGGAGTCAATATTGCTTGAATGTTTAGCGTGATCAAGGATAGGTCGTAGTGAAACATGGCGTGGGATGTACATGCGTGTATGTGTTCGTGTGTGTATATATGTGGGTGTGTATCGGTGTTTGGGGTATAGTTTTACATTATGTGTATATATGTGAAATATCACGCAGTTATATAGCATACAATGGATTTTATATTATGTACACAGCCTGATCGTGAAAGTGCGGAGTTGGCTCAATGAATATTAGCATGAAAATGTCAATCTGCGAACTGTGTTTCAGTCGCAGTTGAGGTGTATTGTATTTATTTGGTTATTACATAAATTCGTTCGTTTTTTATAATTTGTTTTAATATTTACTATTTATTAACATTTGGCATACTTGGGTTAAATTTTCTTGCAAAACAAAAGTTTTATCTTGCCACTGCAAGTGACTCAGATGAGTGAATGATAGCGTATTTGAATTTTGAAATTGTGTTGTCATATCCTGCTATGGCAACAGAAAATGACCGTGACTGAAATTAAGTAGTGCAGTAGATCTCGTAAGACAATATAGTGTAATAATACGTTTGTTGGATATCATTTGAGGAAAG